CAATTTGACAATAAATTTCATATATAAATAAAAAAAAAAAAGTACGTTTCTTTTGTTCAAACGTCTGTAATTAACATCTCTTAACCAATTAAGAGTCATTTAATTCAAAATAGTGAGATTTCAACGAATTAAACTAAAGTAGTAGTTTGGAAGGAAAATTTTTTAAATGATATGGAATATAGATTTATAAGAGTTGTACTGTTTGTGTTTGCAACAAGACTTTCTATATTTGTCTGAATCTAGGAAAACAAACTAATGTTTAGGCCTGTAATTCTCAAACTCAAGCTTGAATCAGAGTCAGCAGAGGGTTTGTGAACAGACAGCCAGCCAGACTGACTATCGGCATTCCCCTCCCTCCAGGATTCTGGGTCAATAGGTCTGTCATAAGACTCAAGAATTTGCATTTCTAACAAGTTCCAAGGAGAGGCTGAGGCTGTTGTTTTGGAAACCACACACCAAGAACCAATGGGCTAAAGGAAGCTAATGTCCAAAAGAGAAAAAATGAGATGCTCCACAAGATGCTCCTTCACCACAGTTGTACTTACATTTAAGCCAGCTTTCCGCCAATAATAGTTGCTATATTGGTTAACCATGCACTTCGTTTTTTCTTTAAACTTTTCTTCTGAGTCAGTAGACCACCAAGGATCCAGGTTTCCATTTTTATCATATTTTCTACCTAGCAGAAAGGAAAATTAAAAGATATTTGTACTACCTGTGTTCTCCTCTAGGATTTTTATGGTTTCACATCTCACATTTAGGTCTTTAATCCATTCTGACGTTATTTCTGTGTATGGTGTAAGCAAGTGGTCCAGTTTCATTTTTGTTTTCCCTGCACATAGATGCCCAGATTTCCCAAAACCATTTGTTGAAGAGATTGCCTTTTTCCCCACTGGATAGTCTTTCCTGCTTTGTCAAAGATTAACTGACTCAATAATTGTGGGTTCATTTCTGGGGTCTCTATTGTGTTCCATTGATCTATGTGTCTATTTTTGTGCCAGTA